TGAGACGTACAAGCTGTCTGTAGCAGCAGTGGAGACCAAACAGAATATGCTAGCGTATCAGTCTTAAGTTGCATGAGATCACAGAATCATTTAGGTTGGAAAAGACCCTTAAGATCATCGAGTCCAACTGTTAAACTACTACTACCAGATATTTATGTATGGACACCTGAATCATGCTTTATGAGTTTACTTATAGGAATCTAGAGGTGCAGTAGGCGTTAGTGGTGTAGATTACCCCATTAGAATCAATAGAAATCTTCTGAAGAAGTCAAGGTGGAATTTGGCCCCTAAACATGAACTTCTGGTTTAATTTGGGGGACTGTGGAATATCCCCATCTGGCTGCCACTGCTTTACCAGAAAGTCCTATAAAATCTGTCATACCTGCCAGTCTCATGCAGATGCCTCAGGTATCTAGAGCACCTCAAATGGCAGCTTAGGCAACCAAGTTCTTAGTGGTGGCTTAATTGCAGCTTCACCCACCTTACAGTATACACCCGCTGTTTCAGCTGAATATCTTTCTAAACACTGCTGGCTTTATTGAGTATGTCTTTCCTTGCTGTGTGCTGGGAATTTGGATGCCTGGTACACATGCAAACACCACACTACAGTGAACTGTATTTAGGTGGTTTTACATTGAACTGGACACAACCCTTATGCTAGGAACAACTGACGGTTTGAAAGATATTTGAGGAATAGGGCTGGGAATAGAGCTTCTATCCTGACAAAAAAGTGAAGAATTGCTGAGTGGAAAGCAGCTAGGGTTGGAATTGAGACTCAGAATGGGATGGAGAAAACAGAAGACTAAAATTTGGACTTGGCATAGCAAGAATGTGGGACCAGAATAAGAAGCAGAAGTAGTGGAAATTGGAAGTTGGAGAACAGAGCTGAAACAATGAGCCGAAGGGGAGTAGACCCAGTCCTGAGACCAGAAAGGTGCAAGACAGAAGTCATGCTTGGAAAGGCTGGACAAATGATGGACCAGCAAGGCCAGTAGGTGGTAAATATTCTGCCCTTTTCTGCTTGGAATGGAACTTAAATTTCCAAAACCTTATCATTCCTCTTCTCAGCAGGTGCCTTTGGCTCTGCATTAAAAACAGGAGAAGCACAATGTAAGAGAATTCGTAGAGGTAAATAGTGAGTGGTGAGGACCTGAAGTTCCCAATGTAGGCATCTCAGAGAGTTATTACTTTAGCCAACAGTGGTTTGATCCCATGGACTGAATGTCCGTTACTGGCTGGAGCTCACTAAGGGTGATCCTAAAGAGCATCTTTCCCTTAATTTCAGTTGAAAGGAGTTCATACACTCTGAGAATACTCCACAGTGTCAACCAACGCATGGTAAATGCGGACATGACATTTGCTTCATTAACACACAATAGATCCAAACTAAATCACTGTCCGTGCTGGACACCCCCAGCATAACACCCAGCAGGGAGATATCCCAGGTTCCTCTGGTGAGAATGACAGTGCAACCCCTTTCAGTTATACCATTTGCTTAAGGGAAAGAAGCCTAAGGCAGCAGATCTAGAGGTGCTAACACTGTTGCCAGTACTGGTGCACGTGTAAAATACCTGGTTTTTAATTTGTCTCCTTCAAGCCCAGCAGACTGTATACACAAGCTCTGCTAAAACCAGTGCATTACCAAGCACTTCAAGAGTTTGGGATCTTCATTCAGACACCTTTTATGTATGCATGGATGTGGTCTTTCATTATAACATGACTTTTTCCTTTTTCCTCTTTAATTAAACAAAAGAGCTTTGTAATGAAGGATGCAGAACTCCTAATTTCTGGCAGAAGTTGTAAAATGCCTGTTGAAAGAAACAGGCAACTATAGTAAGTAAAACTGGTGGTGTTCAAGGCCAGTAGGACAAAGCCTTGGGTGACATGGTTTAGTGTGCGGTGTCCCTGCCCATGGCAGGGGGGTTGGAAATAGATGATCTTAAGGTCCTTTCCAGCCCTAACTACTCTATGATTCTATAGCTTCATGGTAAAGGCACCTAAACTTTACATCCAAGGTGGTCTATTCATGAAGTCAGTAATACATCTTTCATAGATGGTCACAGTTTGTCCTTACTTTTCTGAGTATCTCATTTAAGACCTTGAAGTCTGTGTTTCAGATCACCCACAAATGAAGTCCAGGAGCGCTGTCCTTTGAGCATAGTCAATTCCGTGCAGTGCTACGCACACTGAGAAATCAGCTCTAAGTGTTTCAAACTGCACTGCATACTTTCAGATTAATGCCTGTAGTTTGACATTATGTTTTGTGCTCTCCATCTGCAAAATGGAGATGAAAATGGTCACTAAGGTGTCACAAAACTAAATTAATAAATGTGAGCACACAAATCCTGTACTGGTGCATGCCAGAGCCAATGCACATAGGAAAACAAATTCTGTCTGTAAATCATGAAATCTGTAATAAATAAATCCTCAGACCACACACAGAATTTTAAAAAATTATCAAATGGCAGCTCATCAGCTGAACGACATCCTGTCAGTGGATTAAGTGAGTCAAGGATCCTTTGGATCATGCAATGAAAGATTAAACCATAATGCACATATACCAGATACAAGCTAACAATGCACATAAATCTGTTGTTTAGGCATTTCCAAACCTGTGAGTTCTCAAGTTTACAACCCTACCTGGAGAACAGCCCATTTCACAGGTCTTGCAGATCAAGCCAAGTATTTTATCCTTCATAAGTGTAAATTATGTTTTGTCTTTTTCTAAGTAATCATGAGACTCTATAACTAGCCTACAATATCTAATAAGGTGAAGGATCACTCCATTCAAGTGGGGTTGCTCCATTTCTTTTTTCTCTCAATTTCATAATCTTTATTTTTGTATCTGCTGGTAATGGAGGTTAAACATAATTTGGTCGGATGTTTGGCTTTCAGAAGGTCTGAATGAAGCTGGCCTTTTTATGTTGGCTTTTTGTTAGTGTGACATCTTACAATTTATGAATCAAAGGCAAGATCAAAAGGCATTTTCTGCTAAAACAAACAACATACCTTGTTTCCAGCAATTAGTGAGTGACAAAGGAAGCCAGTAAAGTTTGTTAATGTGGGACAGCTTATGTTCTATGTTTCAAGTATACATTCTATATATTGCGTTGGTGTCTATGCAACTGAGATACTAAATATTCAATACAGGCAATAGTGAGTAATGTCCAAGATTTGGGTGCACTTCAACAAGAGAAAAGCAAGTTAGACAAAGCTTGTGACATTCTGTGAATGCAGTCTGGGCTCTTTGTCCACCTCTGCCCCAGGGGGTGCATTTATTTATATTCCACATGGCTACAAAAATGATGGAACTGAAGATTTTTGTGATGAAAGGAAAAATTATTGTCCCCTAATTTATGGTAGCATTGCTCAATTAATCACTGAAGTACAAAAATGAAATATGAAACAAATGGGAGTAATGCAGTTGGGCCAAGCTCTGTGTGTGATATGTTGAGCAATCAATATCCTTCTGGTACCTCCATTCAAACATTTTAGCATAAAGAGTAATTGTTACTAATCTTGTTTTAAATCCATAGGTTTTTGCCATCTCCCAGACAACTATTCTCCCTTCAAATACTTCATAGAAATTGAAAAATACGGCTATAGCACGCAAAGTTTAAATGAAAATGTGGGAAACTGATGACTTGGGAAAGAGTGACACTCAGTGTTTCTAACAGAGGAAAAGACACTTTGTTAAATGTAATATTTGCCTGGAATTTATGACTTTGGTGTTTAAGTGGGACCCATATCACCTGCTTCATGTATGTCATTGAAAAAGGTTATTAGGGCAAGTTCAAAATGGACCTTGGTATAATTCGAGTTCCATATTACAACCCAAAAGAAAACTGCTCATTGATCTCCAGGAGATGCCTGTGCTCTGCACAGACAGCATTTCACAAAGACAAGATAGAGAGCTGGGGTTGTTCAGCCTGGAGAAGGCTCCAGGGATATCTTACTGCAGCCTTGCAATACTTAAAGGGGACTTGTAAGAAAGATGGGGAGAAACTTTTGAATAGGGCAGTTTGTGATAGGACAAGGGGTAATGGTTTTAAACTAAAAGAGGGTAGATTCAGACTAGATATAACAAAGAATATTTTTACAATAAGGGGGGGGGTGATACCCAGAGAGGTGGTAGGTGCTCTATCCCTGGAAACATTCAAGGTCAGGTTGGACCAGCTCTGAACAACCTCATCCAGTTGAAGATGTCCCTGCTCATTGCAGGGGGTGGGGGGGGTGGACAAGAGGACTTTTAAAGATCACTTCTGACCCAAACCATTCTATGATTCTATGATTAAAAATTAGCAAAGCAAAAAAAGATTTGCTTCTGAGAATGACCCTAATTGCTGTTATTGTAACATGGCTGAGTGCATCACAACTAGTTTACATCTAACACTAAAGTTTAAGAGCAATAGGTGCTCCTCCACCTAAGGCCCAACCAGGCAGGTGGTTTGAGTAACACCTAGCAGATGCCAGTAGGACTGAGCTACTCACAAACATAGAGTAACCTCCTGCTTTCTCTTAGCTTCTATCCAGAAGTCCGTAATGGTTAGCTCCTTCACCTGGGACATAGCATCAAGTTTACTGGTAATTTTGCTGTTTGATTAAATAGGTAGAAAACATAGAAAACAGACAACAGCTAGGGCAAACACAGCAATTTGCCTGCTTAGGTATGGACTCTATGGACAGCTAGATGTTTTTATCCATAATAACAAATTTCTTAAGACAGACAGACTTTCATCAGATACGTGTTTTCAGAGTTAAGCCTGTATTGTGTTCCACAGTTTTACAGAGAGGGAAACTGAGTCACGGAGCATTTAATTGGCTTCATCATAATTGCAGACTTGAAAACAATTGAGAATTACCAATTTGGTATTTCTCACAGTGTATCTTGGATCATGAAGCATTGCTTATTTCCAAATACTTCAGTGCTCTTTGGTTGGATATTGGTGACTTCATCAGTAATGTTTCAAATTAATGGTTTGATATGCTTTAATTTCTAGCTGATTTTCTACTATGGAACTGGAGACAGCTGGTGTCCACAGCACTACTACGATGAGATCAAACTGGATTTTCCAGACGGGGACATTCGCCTTTGTGAGAAAGGGCTCCGCCACGCCTTTGTGCTAGATGCCAGCAAGGAGATGGCTGCCATGATTACAGACTGGATACAGGATGACCTGACCAAATTATAAACACAGATTCAGTGATTAACAAGAAACTGGTGTTATTATTTTGTGAATGTGTCATTTTCTGTGAGAGAGTCTGTCCTATTCTTTTTCTGTTCATTATATATTATGGCTTGTTTTACATTAAGATGTTTCAGAGGAAGCTAAAGAGAGACTGGCTGGTCCAAAGTATAGTTTTATAGATTCTGTAGTGACCTACCTTCATCCTGTGTCTTCAGGATTCTGCAGGACTTGGCAAAGGGTGGAATATTTATTGTCTGCTAACACTCTAGACAGCAGTGATTCACTGGCTACAAGTGTACCTGAGTTACTACCACCTGACTCAGCTGCTGGAGAACTGTCAGGGATGGGCTCAAGGCAGCCCAGCTGGCCTGCTCTGGAAATAAACACCAGGCTACTCTGTATGGATAGGAATCTCCCTCTGGATGGATCCTGGCAGTGAATCCTGGTATGCTGTGAAAGGCCTGGCCCCCTCCACACATCTAATCCACCACATAACCCTGGTGCATGACAGCCAGAACAGCTCACAGCCCCAGGACAACCCAGTGCTGCCTCCTACAGGTTGGATGGTGTTGGTGGTCAACCAGAGGTCAGGCTGAGTTCAGGATGAGTACAAGGGAACTGCGTAAGATGAGGTGTGCAGTTTCTCCAAGACTCAGAGGGAGCTTAAGGTGCTGCCAGGACTCCACAGGGTATTAAAAATACCATAAGGTAACTGTGGCTGCTCAGCAAGGGAATGCATATAGAACTTTGGTCTGGAATGTGGCCAAGCGTTTCAGTTTTCATTTGACTGCAGAGAAGGTAAAGGACACTGGTCAAATGTGCCAATACTAAAGGTTAAAATAGATTGCAGAATCCACACATAACTACTTACAGGTGGCTTAGCTTTCCTAATGAAGTCCATGCGAACAGTGCTTGCTCAGCAACTTTAAAGAATTAAACCTCTTTTGATGCATGCCTAAATTTCAGTTCTTTGCTGGAAGGACTGAAGTATGGAATTTTCTGCCGAGCCATAAGTTAGATAAGTCCACTGTGAGAAAATGGCTATTACTCTGCCATGGTTGCACCCCTAAAATGGCATGAAATGTTACTATTGAGAACCATATCCTTGCTGTAGCACATTGTTGACAAGTACACTGTTCCTCACATTTGTTCATCCCTCTCTTTCACAGTTAGCTAAAAACTGGAAAAATCATCCCGTGAGTTGTGATAACAGAAGAAGTTGCAGGCAATAGCTAGAAATGAAAATAATGTAAGAAAGGGGCACAGAGCCAAGTGTAATCAGGAAAAGCTTTCTAGCCATGAACCTGTGAAATACATTCCCTGTGGAGTTCATAGAGACATCTATAAGTGAAACACTACAGAATATAGTCAGGAGAAGTCCTGCCCTTCCAAACACAAGAATTTAGATCATGCATTTATTAAGAGTTTTAATATGGTATTAATGATAATGGTACTGGAGAATGTTCTCTGGGATGCAGAAAGACTAATTCCTTCATCTTTTCTTAGGTTATAACCACACCTTCCACTTCTGTCTAAGTCCACCTCAAATCTTTCACTAATATTTAGAGCAATTTGAATTCAGTTTCTGGATATTCTGAACTAGTTCTTAAACCTGCAGTCAGACAGTGGGTTTAAGTGACTCACATCAGAAACTGCTTCTGAGACTAGCCAGTGGATTTTCATATTCCACTGCTGTGTAATGAAGCAGATACTGATGCCTGAGGCAGAGACGTTGAGACCACAGTTGCAGCAGCACAGACAGGAGTGAGACATGTTCAGAGTAAAGGGACTGTGTCTATGCAACTGATTCTGTTTATGGGAGAGTCATGGGGCATTCTTTCTGCAGGGTCATATTTGGTCATGATCAAAACAATTCTTGCTCTCACTTTAGAAATCCATAATTGTAGGTGCCTGTGCGTGTTTCAGTAGCCCCCAGATGCTGGCCTGCATTCCTGTTGGATGGCCTTATGGCAGTGCTAAATGCATCTATTGGCCTAGGTGCTCCCTGGGGCAGAGTGAAAGGCAGGGTGTTCACGAACATGGGTATAGATGTATGCACACAGAGATATATATACACATATACACCTGTTTATCTGTTATCAACATAAAAAATGCAGTTCACTTGGTTGTTTTGGATTACACATTGAATTGATTGAACAAAACATTTTTTCTTCAAAGTACATAGAATCGGGCAATTAAGCAAGGACTCAGTCTGTAGAAGTTCAGCTGTAGTGAATCTCTTGAGGACAGAAAATATCTTTCATTAACCAAAGATGACAAGTGACTATTAAAGCCTGGAAGCACCTATGAGCAGCAGTTGTTTACAGTGCATACTTTGTATGGGGAATTAATTTTGCAATACTTATACTTGACTTGTGTATGCCTTTTATACAAATGTTAATCAGTTCTAATAAATCCTACTGACTGCATTAAGACCTAAACTGAGATTAGATCTGGTCAGTGATGGTCAGAACTACTGCAGGATAATGCCTTACGACTTCCTTAAATTAATTTTCTCTAAGATTTTCGAAACCTATCAGTTCAATTGCTACCTTCCTCCTAAAGCTGTTTCTGTAAGGCTAAGATCTGAAAATTTGCTATTCTAATCATTGCAAAAAAGCACAGGTCTAGATTTCACAGCTGTATTTCCTAAGAGCAGATCTCACACAATGAGAAACCTGTGGTGTTTATCATGACCCCAGGCAGAGAGTGTCAAAAGTGCTTATTGTCCAAGTGTGCCAACTTCCCATGAGAACACAGTGTGGTCTTGCTTGTTTTAGACTACTTTAGAATTCTTGGGAAACCTATCACAAATGAATTGACTGTATGCAGTAGCACATAATCTCTGTCATTCACATTTGTGCTTAATTCTCACCACACGAGTAATCCTGCTAGCTTCAGTGACTTTGACTCACTTTCAAGTGTTTTGCTAGATCAATACCTTTTATGACAAAGTACACAACTCCAATAACAAAAATAAAGAGGTTTATGGTAAAATATAACTCGATTATTTATTTTTACAACTTGTTCACTGTCTTCATTACTTTGTGCATACAAAATTCACTAAATTACTTGCCAAACCCCAAATTTCACAAGTGAAGTAGACATCTGTGAAGTGCAGAGGAAACCAGTGGGGGGTAGGCACCTGATTCACTTCAGCATTTTTATCCAGAGGCACTCCAAGATAATCAATCAGTGTTTTCCCTTCCTCCCTCCAGCTCTGTTTGCTGCTTTGAATGAGCTATAGAGTGTGTGGATTAGTGAGGTTTGTCCCTTCAGGAAGCTCGATGAGTGCTTGCCCAGTGTTTGTGGTGAAGAATTTGGGGTTGGACTCTAAGCTAAACACCAGTTTCTTGACTCACAGGAGACATCGCATACGTAAGCCACAACAGATAATCTCTCCTCTGCAGTTGAGGTCATCTGTGTATCTATTTTACAGAAAATGGCTTTTTACATGCATCCACTCCCTGTCCCTTTCTTTGGTCTAGCTAATTGCCAGCAAAGACTTTAAACAAGATGTTCAGTGTTATCATTAATAAAGTCACTCAAGATATTACTGAATTTGGATAAACTTACTAGACCCAAGAGACTTGCTTTACTCTGTGTCACAGGTCACACTCAGATTCCCAACCACAGTAAGTATCTGAGGCTCTTCACTTGCAGGCAAATGTTCTCATTCCTGGCATGTACACAAAATAAGAATCCAGAGAGTGTTTGCGAGTGACCAGGAACCATTAAAACACCAGATATTTCTGGAACAGCTGATGGGGTTGGAGTACAAGCAGCAGATAGAGCAGTAACAATACAAGCCAGCTGCCAGAAGTGATTGTTGCTCTCAGCAGCATCATGCAGAAGTTACGAAACAGCCTGACACGCATGCTCAGATGGGACAGGCAGGGAGAGATTTAATTAAAGACTGTTTTCACATGATTAGGCTCACAATAAATGGATTGGCTTTTTCCATTCCAGCTATTGCCTTCCAACCCAAACCATTCTATCACTGTAAGAATGTGCTTGCAGGAAAGTATTCATGTTGTGGAAGGTGGTTTACAGCAGCTAAAAAACCCAAATAATGGTTTGGGATAGAAAGGACCTTAAAGCTCACCCATTTCCAAACCCCTGCCACAGGCAGGGACACCTTCCACTAGAGCAGGTTACTCAAAGCCCCTTCCAACCTGGCCTTGGACACTACCAGGGATTGGGCAGCCACAACTTCTCTGGGCAACTGTGCCAGTGCCTCACTAACCTCACAGTGAAGAATTTCTTCCTAATATCTATTCTAAATCTGCCCTTTTTCAATCTAAAGCCATTCCCCCTTGTCCTATTCCTACATGTCCTTGTAAAAAGTCCCTCTCTAGATATCCTGTGGGCCCGTTTAGGTACTGGAAACTGCTTTAATGTCTCCCCAGCTCTTCTCCGGGCTGAACAAGCCCAGCTCTCTCAGTCTGTTTCCACAGCAGAGGTGGTCTGGCCCCCTGAGCATCTTCATGGCCTTCTCTGCACTCACTCCAAGAGATCCACATCCCTCTTGTGGTGGAAGCCCCAGAGCTGGATGCAGTACTGCAGGGGGGGTGTCCCATGAGAGGGGAGTAGAGGGGGAGAATCCCCTATCTCATCCTGCAGAACGTTGTTTGAAACATCTGACTGACTGCAGTGTTTGCCAGTCAGACACACAAATGAGAGTTTTTTCCATCCTATTTGAAGGAATTAACAATGAAAGAGGCAGTGAGGATGCCCCCACTCTCCCGGTTTACAAATACTTCAAACTCAAGTTAAAGCACCCAAGCTCTACACTACACTGTGTTTCATACATTAAGAGAATGCTTGTGTATGGAGATGGTTTGGAACTGGGAAGAACAGGCTTTCCCAGCATCACAACTCAGCTACTCCTTTTCCCGAACAGGCACCCTTAAAATTGATAAGGATCCAGCTCTTCTAATCTAATATGTTAGAAATACCTTTTACAGGATATAAGTGTTTTAAGTGTGAACATCATCTGCTCTCATCATGAAGGGCATACTGCAACTCATGTTTATTAGGA